GGGGGGGGGGGGGAGGAAAGAGTTGGAATGGAATTGGCAGAAGGAGCCACTTTGCATCTGAATGTGTCGGCTGAGCACAGCGTGGGATGAGTCAGCCTGTGCAGGAAGGATCTGTCGATGCGGGGCAGCGGAGCCACGGCACCTCCCCGAGATGCGGCGAGGATGAGGATGAGGATGAGGATGGGCAAGGGCGTGGGAGGGCAGGAGAATGCCTTGCTCGGCCTGCCTGCTCTTCCTTCCCGCGGGATAGAGGAAAACTCTCAGGATCTTAGCCTTGTCCTGGAGAGAGCTGGCAGTTTGGATGGATAATGAGGAGCAAGAGGGATAAAAAAGGGATCTTAACCTGTTCTGCCCAGACCCCAGCAGTGTGGGAGGTGGGGAGATAACACGAGTGTGGACCTCTGGAGCCACTTGTGTCCAGTGGAGCCACCAAACCCAGCTCTCGTCCCCTCCCGTGTCACTCACCTTTCTGTCCTCAGAACTGCAGAAAACAACGTGAGGTGACAGTGGCACACAGACCTTTTGGTCATTCATCCTTACCTTTCCACCTCTCTCCAGCTCCCCACCAGCACTGACAGAGCCCCGGGAAGATGCCAGGGCTGATTAACTGGGCCACCCTCTCCCCGCTGCCCCTCACCGCATCGGAGGTGACGTCCTGTGTCAGCGGCTACGCCTTCGGGATGACAGCCCTGCTCACCTACCACAACCCAGACCCCCAGGCTTTGGAAGGCAAGTTTCAAGGAGTAAAGCTTGGGAAGGGAACTTCAGAGCCAGGGATATCCAAGTGCTGGGTCTCTGTGAGTGACTTCAGCCTTTAGACGCTGGTGGGAAGAGCAACCAAGTGGGTTATGTCCAAGACTGCGACTTTCTAGGTGTGAAGAACCCCTGGGAAGTGCCAAGAGGGTGCTGGCTGGTGGGTCCAGGGAGGTGGTTCGCGTTGCTAAAATCCCCTCGTGGCTGGCAGGTCTCTTTGTGTTCCCCTTGGACGAGGGCACAGCCGTCGTGGGCTTCGAGGCCGCCGTGTCCCGGCGCGTGGTGACGGTGCAGATCAAAGACAGAGCCAAGATAGATGACACCTACTTGGACAGCTGCAGCCTCCCCAGTGGAAGAGGTGAGGGGGTGGAGGGTGTTTTAGGGAACGTGGTGGGAGAAAAGGTTGGCAAAAGGAACGGGGAGGTGGCAGGGTGGGGGGCTGGCTGGCATATGCCATGGCACTGAGGGGGCTCCTTGTGAAAGGCTGAGTTGTTGTGGTGCTTGTGTCCCTGCCAGAAATGTCAGTCTTGCCTGTTTTGGAAAGCACTGATGCTTCTGGGCAGCCAAAGGAGTGCTGCAGAAGGCTGTGGCTCCTTAGACAATGCTGATGCGTACAGTGGGGGGCAGCTTCAGGTGTTTGATCCAGAGCTGAGGGGAATGTTTTCCACTGCTGTGTCACCATGTCTTCCTGGTGTGGTCCTATCTCTGTGCAGGAAGGATCCTGATGGATGAGGACCTGGAGAGGATTGTTTTCGTGGCTAACCTGGGCATGATTCCTCCCCTGGAAAGCATCTCCATCTTCATCAGCACCTCCTCTGAGCTGCAGACTACGTCCAGTGGGGCTGTGAGGGTCCTTCTGCCAGCTGTGTGTGTCCCCAGGGTCCCCCAGCCCAGCCTGGAGAATGCCAGCAGCCCTTCCAGCCACCAGCTCCGCACGTACGGAAAACCAGGGGGTGGGCTCTGGCTGGGACTGATCCAGGGGGGATGCAGGTCTGGCCGAGGGGAACCTTGTTGTCACTGTGGGAGGCTGGAGAGCTGCTCTGCAAACCTCTGTGGGGGGGATAGAACGTGTTCACAGGGTTTATTTGGGCTCATCTCACCGGCAGGGACAAGCACCACTGTGGATCAGGGAGCCTGGATCAAGGGAGCAGGTTCTGCCTGGCTCAGCTGCTGGAGGGTGAGGCCACCAACCCCTTCGAGTACGAGTTCAGCTTCCACCTGGAGATCCGGGGGCCGTGCCTGCTGGCAGGTAGGAACACCAGTGCCATCCTGCTGCACTGGGATGGTCCATCACCTCCTCAAGGCAACCTCCACACTCTTCCTCCTTCACTGCCCCTCAGCGTGGGATCTGTTTTGACAAGTTAGCTCCGCTGAGGTGGATTTACCAGCACAGGGCTGATACCAGGATGGGTTCCTGTCCTCTGCCACCTTGTCATCTCTTCTCCCCTGGTTTTCCCAACCCTCAATCCCTAATGGCACCTTGGTTTTTCCCTGAGCAGGCGTTGAGAGCCCTACCCACGAGATCCGAGCGGACGCCGACCCCTCGGCTCGCTCCGCCAGGAGCATCGTGATCACCCTGGCCAACAAACACACCTTCGACAGGCCCGTGGAGATCCTCATCCACCCCAGTGGTAGGTGGGCTCTGCTTCCTCTCTGCTGGGTCTTGCCCCTTCCTGGGATCCCCATCTGTAGCTCTGGGCACAGCTGGATCAGCGCTGGTTTTGTGAATGTTGTCAGGGTTCGGCTTCCTTAGGAGGTAATTCCGGACTCTCTCGAGGTATTCAGTGCTCCCCAAGCTCAAAGATATTGCTGTTTTCCCAGGCTGCATCTCTGCCAAACCCAGAGTTTAGCCAAGGCTGTTCTTCACTCAATTCTCTGCATTTCCAGAGCCCCACATGCCTCACATCTTAATGGAAGAAGGTGACATGACACCCGCAGAGTACGAACGACACCTGAAGGGGAAGAACGATTTCATTAAAGGCACTAAGAAAGACCCCAGTGCCGAGAAAAAGGTGAGAAACAAAAGCTGCAGGTGTTAGCTGAGGCTTTTGCTGCACTGGAGCCGAGCTAGTAAATGATTCCTCGTTGCCAGCACCACGTATTACACTGTCCCCATAAGCTCTGCAAGTTCCTCCTTCGGAGAGGGGCTTGTGTGGAGGAAGAGGGGAAAATTCAGCATTGCTGCTGATAAACTGAGTGTGGAAGGAGCTCTGAGATGGTTATTGTGTGTATAATTAGTGCTAGTCTAGCATAGCATAATTAGAGAGGTGCATTGTGATAGCATTAAGGGTATTATAATTATTGCAATGACATAGAATAAAATATTCTTTTAATTGCTCAGTAAATGTTTACTGTTTCTGGATAGCTGTCAGAGAGAAAGAAGTGATTTTGCTCGGAATAATGAGCTGAACTGAAGACAAGGTAGGAGAAACTTCTCTTTGTTCTGCTGAGCAGCAAAGAGAAAAATCTCTGCGCTGGGATTTGTGCCTCATCTTCCAGCAGTTCTGAAGGAATGAGTGACAGCCCAGAACCTCAGCGTGTCTGGGAGCAGCACAGGGCCCTCTGAATTTCCAGGGTGGGTGTCTTCTCCTAAGGCACAGGTTGTGCTTGTGTGGCCACACCCTGGGGCTGAAGGTGTCAGCGCCTGATTTACACCCCCCAGAGCTCTCTGTGCACCCAGAGGTGCTCATTTCTCCCTAAACTCCTTCTCCCTGTGCCTGATCCTGGGCCCTGCTTGGCAGAAATCCTGGACCTGCTGCAGGGATGCCTCCCCGTGCTCCTGTGACTTCTTCTTCTGTCACCAGAAACATGTCAACCTTCCTCTCCTTCCCTTTGCCCTCCACTCCCTCTCACAGGGCTGGGACTGCGTGTGCTCCTCTAATTGTGTTCGGTGTGGAACGAGATGGAACTCCCACGCTACGCCTTGGATGCTCCCTAATTATTCCTGTGTCTTTAGCACGTCAAATTATCTAAGGGGGGGGATCATTTCCCTGCAGGAAACCCATCTGTTCCTCAAGAGGGCTGGGAAACAACTGCAGGGGAGCAGAGGAAATGCCTGAAATGTCTAGGGTAGATGATGGGCTGGAATCGCTGCTACTCAGAGCAGGACACTGGGCACCTCTCAGCTCAAATTAAATTAGCCCAGAAATTTCAGCAGTCAATGATAATTAATTTTCCTCCCTCGGTTTGTTATGCAAAAGGCTTGGATGCTGTCAGCTGCAGGGTGGTGGGGATGGATGCACACTGGAATCAACTCTCCTCAATACGATCTGATTAGTTTACTGTAATTGGATAATGGGTGGAGGGGAACGGAAGGGAGGTGAGGAGGAGATGTTTTCTTTCTGGCTGACCTGTAGCAGAAGCTCTGAAGCTGTTTCCTGAAGGTTTGCCTGTAAAATTTCCTCCGAAATCAGTGAGAAATCCCAAAATATGGACTTAGCCCAATCACCCAGGGATTTTATGTCTTGGATCTCCCAGAGCATCCCAAGGAATTGCTGTGGGTAGGTCAGGACCACAGTTCAGTCCTTGGACAAAGGCACCAAGGATCCCACTCAGTCTGAAATGTGATGAACTGGGAATGATGTCATATGGCTGGAGGAAAATGGGGATGGAAAAAGCTCTTTGATTTCCCCATGGCTGATTATTTTACACTCCAAAGCATGAGAGGATGAGCGAGAGCTGAAGTGGCAGCGAGATGCTTGTTCCTGTGAGTGAGACCTGCCTTTTCACAGGGTCAGAGAAGCAGCACCGGGGCAGCAGAGCTGAAAGCAGAGCTCTTGCATGCGTTGATCCACAGGGACTCCTGAGTTAGTGAGTTGCATAAAATACAGGTGGGTCGGTGGGTCGTAGATCGAGGAATATGACTCACGGCCAGAGAAAACAAGCCTGGTTATCTGGGGTCTGGTTTGCTGCCAGTGAAACCAATGAGGAAAGCAGGCAGAAAGAGGAGAAAACAGACAAATAAAAAGTGCTGAGGGCTGAGCTGTTGTTGAGGAGTGTGTTTCCACCCTCAGACCCAGGGATGAAAGGCCACAGCCGGGTGATGTGGGGTGGCAGAGCTCCCTCGAAAGCAGCTGAGGCCGTGAACCCACGACAGCTCGATGCCCATGTAATGGCACATTATAACCCCATCACAAGATGTTTTCACCAGCTCAGTTTTATCCCATTTGTAATGAATGCTTGAAATAGAAGGAGGGAAAGTGCAGAGCCGTTAGAGCTGTGTGCAGTGCAGGGACAGATCACGCGGGTTCCACTGAACGGTGGCCACAATGACCGGTTTGACTCTCCAAAGCCTTTCAATCCCTGCAAAGAAAAGTGATAAAAGAGAGCTGGGCAGAAAAAAACAGCAGACCAGAGGCAGCAGGAAGGAACTGAAGCAGTGAACACAGCATACCAAGGGCTGTATGTCTCGCTTCATTAATGAGTGACCATGGAGAAAAGCTCTGGTGTGCCTCGGTGGGATGCAAGGCTGTGCTAATGAACCAGGTTTTCGGGAAGGATCTAATGAAATGTTTGCAGAATCAGTTTTGCAAGGTGCTGCGCAGGGCCAGGCCTTTTGATTTCTTCTCCAGATTCTCACCTGAGCGTGCAGCTGCTCCGTAGAATTCCAGAATGGTTTTGGGTGGAAAGGGACCTTAAAGACAATCTCATTCCACCCTCCTGCCAAGGGCAAGCACAACTCCCACCAGACCACATTGCTCCAAGCCTCGTCCAACCTGGCTTTGAACATTTCCAGGGATGGTGAATGCTTTTATACCTGCCATGGTCCCTGATTTAGGCTTTCTGCCAGCTGTTGTCCCCTGAGCAATGTGTGACTGAGGAGGCAGGAATTCCATTTACCCACGGAGCAGCTCCGCTGGAGGTATGAACAGAACAACTTCAGTGTGCCCTGAGCCTTGGTGTTGTCACCTCTGAGGCCAGAACAAGCAGGTTCTGGCCTGCAGAAGGCCACACACTTGCATTTCCAGGCACACAGCCCTGCTCTGATTCTCGTGCAAGTGAAATGGGGCAGAGAAATCAACCTCTTGATCTCCGTCCTTCCTTCGTGCAGACGGAAATCATCAGGAAGCGGCTGAACAAGGACATCCCCCACCACCCCATCATCATGCTCAACTTCTGCCCTGACTTGAGGACTGTCCAGCCAGCCCTTCAGAAAGCCCAAGGGGAGTTTATCTTCCTCATAGACCGGAGCAGGAGCATGAGCGGCGGGAACATCAGCCGTGTCAAGGTACCCGCGGGAGGGGAAGCACCTGCATGTCAACAAAGGATGAATTTTAGAGAGCAGTGGGGGTGCTGAGGAGTGTTCATTAGGAGGGGATGGGGGGTAATTATATGCTGTAGCTTTAGTCATCTCAACCATGGGGTTTGTCAGGTACCTGCAGCGAAGCTCATTCTCCCCTGTTCTCTTCCTCGTCTTCCTCTCAGCACATCAAATGCAAAGTTGTTTTCTTTCCCTCTCTTGCTGGCATGTTCTGTTCATTCCTTCCCACTGTTCTCCCTGCCTCCAGGAGGGCTTTTTTGGTGGCTTCTGTCTAGGGGAGAACCCTCCAGGGAGCTCCAAGAGGAGTGATGTGCTGACCATGCGTTAGGAGATGTTTTGCTGAGGGGCACCTCTTGCACCCACATAAGTTGTTTGAATGTGAAACATCCCTTTCCCAAACACAAATCAACAGCAGCAGCCTGGTGGAGGGTTATGGGAGATGTGCTGAGACCTCTGGCTAAAAAAAGGGCCTGGAGAAAGGCTTTGTCAAGATATTTTGTGGGTCTGAGGTTCCCCTGTCAGATGTCCTGCACCACCAGCCCCAGTGCAGGACCGTGCACTTGCTCTGTTGAACCTCATGAGCTTCACAGAGAGCCACTTCTTGAGCTTGTCCATCTTTTAACACATCTCCTTCCCCATCTGTCTCTGGTTTCCATGGGAACTGCTGGAGGACAGACACCTCCAGCAACAAGGATTGGGATGCTGGGGAGCCTGAGGATGGCTGCAGCAGGTCCCTGGGGACAGGGAGGCTGCTCCCTAAGGGCACAGAATATCTCTGAGTTGTACTCCCTTCCCCCAGGACCTTTAGGAGTCTGGGAATCTCTGCCCCACACCGGATTTGTGCTTTCCAGCTCACAGCATGGCTGGGTTAGGGCACCACATCTCTGCAGACTCGGAGAAAGCTCATTTGTCCCATGGGGATGGAGACCCTTACAAGGACAGACTCCTTCTCTGGCAAGTCCTGAACTGGGACTCCCATTGCAGGAGGGCTGTAAAAACAGGAAAAAGGAAATATATTTTGTTGGAGATAGTGGAAATTTCAGAGGAGATGCCTCAGGGCAGAAACCCACTGTCCTTCTTTTGAGTCTCCCATCCTTTTTTGTCACTTGCAAGCCAAAGTCCCTCACAGGAGGGGCTCTTCTTAGGGGTTTTGGGTGGGTTTTGCTTGATGGAGCTTTCTACTTCGTCCTCAGATGGCTGGATGAGTGAGGTGACAGGGCTTGGAGCTGGGCAGCCACAGGGATGCACAAAGGGGCGAGATGAGATGGCTCAAGTGGAGCAGGAGGGCACCTGGCCAAAGCAGCTGGGGTGGAAGGTTCAGAGGTCCAAATTCCCTGCAGCCAGTCCCTTTCCCATCCTGATGCAGCCAGGGAGAAGAGCCAGGCTGTGATGGTGCATCGAGCTCGCTGGCAAAACTACACTAATAACTGGGGATTGACTTTTCTGGAAGCAAACATCCCTCCTTATTGAGTTGCTGTATAGATATTGAGTGCAACAGGATCAAGATCAATATTTACCATAAGAAGCAATAAATCTTCCTGCTTGCTGAAACAGCAACCAGGCACCGCTTGCCCGCTTTGGGAAGTGCTTTAACAGAAACATTTGGAAATTTGTATTTTTTTTTTTCCCCCCATGTAATTAGTTCCAAGATGGGATGTCAGCGCTGAGATCTGGAAGAGCCAGCATCCCAGGAGCCATCTGGGAGCAGCGGTATAAATATCCCCTCGTAGGTTTGAGATAACAGCTTGGATTGAAGCACTCCAGAGCTTGTTAAAGGGCAGCCCTGTTCTTGTATTCCCCTGATTTTCAGTGCTCCAGCTCTGCTGTGCCGAGTCTTGCAGGAGCTGGGAGCTGGACTGACCTGGTACCACCTCCCTGGGGGTCCCAGGAGGGTTCTCTGTGCACCCTCTGTGGTCACTCGGTCCGTGCCCACCGCGCAGGACAACACAAGGTGGCTGTTCCTGCTCATTTGACCTTGATAGCTCCTCCTGGGACTGGCTCTAGGGTTTCTGCTGCCCTCGGCAGACTGGCAGGAGTCTGCCTTGATCAGCATTTAAAAAGAACCAAGCTGCTCTTGAACACTTTGCTTTACATTTTGCTTTAAATAAACGCTTTGCCTTAAACTGTCTTCCTCTCCTGACACATAATTGCTCCTCCAAGCTCAAGAGCATCTTGGGCAGCTCTTGCCCAGTTGCTGCTCTCCAAAGCTCTGTCCTGGAGTTGTCCACGACCATCACAAATATCTGTGACAATTCCATTTGCTCTTCCCTTATGTAAAGCCCAGGAATAGGCACGTTAGATAACCACCTCTGGTAAAGAAAATAGCTTAAATCTGTTGTCTCCCAGCTATTTTAACTGAAGCCAGCTACGAATACAAGAGAATTGGGGATGGGGGGGGGGGGAGGCTTTTCCTTTTGTGTAACTTTGAGCTGTTTGTTTATTTTCTGCAAGTTTGGGCATTGAGATGCATTGCGTGTCGCACTTCTCAATTTCACACTCTGCTTCTCACCCACCAGCTCGGTTGCTGCAGCACCGTGTTGCCAGCACAAATTGAATCCCTTAAAAAACAAACACAAAAATTTGTTCAGCTCTTTGTTGGTCTTTTTTTTTTTGTTTTTCTTTTTCCCCCAAAGACTCCCCCTTTTTTGCTTTGGGTCCCAAATACCGTTCAGGGCCTTTGGAAAGAGCAGCGTCCCCGTTGCAGCTCACGGGGGAAGAAGTAGTTGGTTTACTGGCAGGTGCAGGTGGGAATAAGGTGGGATTGCTCCAGGCAGAGCTTCCAGGTGAAGGTGTGGCAGTCAGGGAGAGCCCTGGGGTGACGGTGTCTGTTTGTTTTCCACCCCCCAGGATGCCCTGTTGGTCATTCTCAAGAGCCTGATGCCAGCGTGTCTCTTCAACATCATCGGGTTTGGATCCACCTTCAAGACCCTCTTTCCTGCCAGTCAGGCCTATTGTGAGGTGGGTGAACCCACATTTCACGGAATCACAGAATCAGAGGCTGGTATAGGTTGGAAGGGACTTCAGCTCATCTCATTCCACCCCCTGCCAGGGGCAGGGACACCTTCCACCAGCCCACGTTGCTCCAAGCCCCGTCCAACCTGACCTTGGACACTTCCAGGGATGGGGCAGCCACAGCTTCTCTGAGCAACCTGTGCCAGGGCCCCCCCACCCTCACAGGGAAGAATTTCTTCCTAATATCTAATCCAAACTTGCCCTTTTTCAGCTTAAGGCCATTCCCCCTCGTTCTGTCACTACCTGCCCTTGTAAAAGGTCCCTCTCCAGCTTTCTTGGAGCCCCCCCTGGAAGGGGCTCTGAGGTCTCCCCAGAGCTTTGTCTTCCCCAGTCCCACTCCCTCAGGCTGTATCCAGAGCAGAGGTGCTCGGAGGGAGCTGGTGCTGACAATTCCCCTGCTGCTTTGGGCAGGAGAGCCTGGCCCTGGCCTGCAAGAGCATCAGGAGAATCCGTGCCGACATGGGCAGCACCAACATCCTGTCCCCTCTCAAGTGGATCATCCGTCAGCCCATCCACAGGGGCCACCCCCGGCTGCTCTTCCTGCTGACAGACGGGGCCATCAGCAACACGGGGAAGGTTCTGGAGCTGCTGAGGAACCACTCCTGCTCCACCAGGTACGGAGGGATCACCCCTGGGGGGGGTCAAACTCCCGGCACGGGGAGGGACGTGCCTCTCCTTGTGGACACGGCCCCATCTCACACCCGTCCCCACTTCAGAGGCACAGGCAGGAGGGATTGCTGCTCCGAGCCATGGGAGAGCCTCAAAGGGTTTGGAACGGAGCCCAGAAGTTCAGATGCTTTTTAAACAATCAAAAGCAGGATAATTGAGCTGACAACTTCACAGCTCTTGTCTGATGCTTCCTGCTAGGAGAGATTGACAAGCCAACAATCTTCCTCGCCTTTTTTTTTTGTTTGTTTTTAATTTATTTTTTTTTTTTAAAGCACATCTGGGGCTGGCCCCAGCTGCTTCCAGGATGGGGCTGTGCAGAATTGAATATGCTGAAAGGGAGCAATGTAAAAAGCAGCTAATTTGTGCCTCGAGCTCCCAGCCTGGCTTCCCAGCTCTGATCACAGGCTGTTCTGGTTTCTCTTCTGCTTCTTTAAGGGGCACAAAACAAGAAAAATATAAGAAATCCTGATTCCTCTTACATCCCTTGGACTTCACAGCTTAGCAGGGAAGCTGCTCTGTGGGTTTTTGGCTACATGGAGGTCTAATTGCTTCCCAGCTGTACAGGGCATCCCACTCCTCACCCTCACAGAGGCATGGGATAAATGTGATCAGCGTTAGAGTGTGGTCTCAGGGGACCCTGGAAGACAGGATCATGTGCATGGCCCATCTCAAAAGAAGATCAGAGCCTTATTTAAGAGGGGTGTGAGGCTGGCCTGGGATTTGCAGCCAGCTGAGGATTAAAAACCCCTAAGAGAAAAGCCCCTCATGTGGATGCAATTTGCTGCTGAAGGTGGTTTCTCTCTCAGTGATCCACTGCCCTGGCCAAATGCCATATCTCACCCATCCCCATCCTTCTGGCTTCCTGCCACATCCATCCCCACCGGGCACTGCCATCCCTGCCTGGACTCCAGCTCAACTTCCAGCCTTCAGCCCAAACCAAACCCTGATTCCCAGAGCTGGGAGTCAGGAGAGCAGCTCCCCCTTCCTTGAGAAAACGTTTATTGTACTTGTGGGCAGAGATAATTACTGGATCTTTAGTGCTATTGACCGCAGGCAGCAGGGGAAAGAGGTGAACTGGCAGCAAAGCAGCTTGTTTGTGTTGGCAGAGGAGGGCAGGGCTCGGGGTCCTGCTGGGAAGCCCCTGAATGTCACTGTCTTTGGGGAAGGGGTTTGAGGTCTGCTGAGAGGAGGGGGCTGCTGCTTCATAGGATCCCAGAATGGTTTGGGTGGGAAAGGACCTTAAACCTCAGCTCCTTCCACCCCCTGCCATGGGCAGGGACACCCTCCACCAGACCAGGCTGCTCCAAGCCCCATCCAACCCGGCCTTGAACACTCCCAGGGACGGGGCAGTCACAGCTTCACCACCCTCACAGGGAAGAATTCCATCCCAACATCCCATCTAACCCTGCCCTCTGTCCATTTGAAGCCATTCCCCCTTTTCTGATCACTCCAGGCCCTCATCCAAAGTCCCTCTGCAGCTCTCTTGGAGTCCCTTTAGGCACTGGAAGGTTTCTCACTCTCCCCTGCCAGCACTAAGAGGAGCTGGTTTAATTTCCTCTGGCCATAGCAGTGGGATAAAGCTGGGGGGGATTCTCTGCCTGCAGGGAGTGGATGAGCTGCGCGGGGCTGGGGGGGAAATGACTTGTCCCCCGGATTTTGATTCTCCCTCTCTCTTTTGCAGGTGCTACAGCTTCGGCATCGGGCCAAATGCCTGCAGGAGGCTGCTCCGGGGTCTGGCTACCGTGTCCAGGGGCACTGCCGAGTTCCTGGCGGAGGGGGAGAGGCTGCAGCCCAAGGTACAGCCCCTCACTCCCCGGGGACCGCCCCGGGAGGCTCTAACCACGCTCTGCTTCAGCGAGGTTCACAACCCACGGCTCACAGCGGGTTTATTCCCCATCCCTGGTGCTGCCTTCCCACCTCCCCATCTCCCCCCGCCGGCAGCAGGTGGGCGAGGCGGCAGGGGATGAAGGAGCATCTCCATCTCCGGCTGTCGGAGGGAGTGGGAGGGTGTGTTTACCCTCCGCATGGGGCTGAGGAGACGCGATAGCCGCGATACAGCAGCTCCGGCTTCAAAGGCAGCCGCTGCCTCAGACACCGGCGAGGGCAGCGGGACCGGCATCAAAGCAGCAGCCAATTAGTTTTGAAGTCAGGCTCAGCCCTGGCTCTGCTCAGGCGAGAAGGACCCGGGGTTTGAGGGAGAGGAATGCGCTGCGATAGCTTTGCCCATTAAGGCGGCTTTAAAGCCTCTTCGTTTCCACTTTGTTTCCACTCCCCCCGCGAAGAGTAAACCCCTGTGCCTCAAACTCGGCTCTGTCCCCTGGTGACAGCGCAGTGCCCAGCTTGTCACCCGCTGCATGGCTAGACCCAGAGGGAATTGGGTCTTTAGCTCCTAAATATCTCCAAAAAGCCAGCTCCTGCCTTCTTGATTTGAAAACGAGGAGTTCAGCAACCCCCACGTCCGCAGGAACCTGGAGCACACAAAAAGCTCTCTAAGACAGAACGGCATCAACATTTCTGATGTAAATTAAAAGCAAAGACAGTGAAGAGAGAGGGTTTTTATCGAGCTATTAATAAGAGCTTTGCAGGCTGTGCAGCTCCGTGCCTTCAGCAGTCTGAGGCATCAATTAATGGCCTTATAAAGCACAGCCTGGTGTATCTTCCCAAGCCTGTGAAAAAAAACAAGGAACAATAGGGAATATTCGAGCTGTTCTGCCTCAAAATCCGGTGTTCACTTCCCCCGGTGTGCAGAGAAGCTCACGTGGATGAGCTACCTCCCTGGTAGGTTTGTCCATGAGCTATTCACAGATATTGGCCTTCTCCACATGTATGATTGGCAGAGCATTGCTGATCTCCAGCAGTGGCTCGTGCCAGCAAGGAGCTGTTCCAAAAATATTGGCGCTGTCACTCTGTGTGTGGGTGTCACGGCTTGGGACAGGGATGGGGCTTGGACAAGTGAAGGTCAACAGCTTTTCCTGGGTGCTGGGTGGGAGCAGGGGATGCTGCAAGATACCTCTGGCCACAGGCTCCCCCCTTGCTCTGAGCTGGCAGCATGTGCAAGATCAGCACGTGCAAGATCAGATCCAAAAATCATGGAATTACAAAGTCATTTAGGTGGGAAAAGACCTGTGAGATCACTGAGTCCAACCATTAACCCAGCACTGCCAGGGGTAACCATGGCAAGGGGCTGGGGGTGCTGGGGTGGGTACTGGAGTAGAGTAAGAGGGAGCAGGCTGTCAGGAGAGGGTGGGAACCAGCTGATGGATTTGTTCAAAGAAATCTTCCCCTTCCCTGCAGCACACAGCACGTGCACTGTGGCACACACAGCATCCAGCTGCTTGTTTCCCCTCTCCCCTCTGCCCCCTGCCTCAGATGATCAGGTCGCTGAAGAAGGCCATGGCGCCGGTCCTGAGCGACGTGTCCGTGGAGTGGGTCTTCCCCGAGAGCACCGAGGTCTTGGTTTCCCCTGCCAGCACCAGCTGCCTCTTCCCTGGCGACCACTTGGTCAGCTATGGCGTCATCTGTGACACCTCCCTGTACCTCTCCAACCCCAGATCCGTGAGTCCACGGGGCTGTCCCGGGAGTGGGGGGTGTTGGGGTCTGTGCACACGAGTGTCTCAGCCCTGTGCGTGGTCAGGAGGTGTTTCCTTCTTCCTGACTCTGTCCCTAAAGGGGGGTGGTGGGTGAGACTCTGGGGAGCAGCAGTGGATAAGGGGGTTGGGATCCGGGTGGTGGATGCGGTGCTGGGACCCGTCCCCTCTCTCTGCTCTCCCGCAGGACAAGCGGCGGCGTTACAGCACGATGCGCTCCCAGGAGTCGGGCAGCTCCGTCTTCTTTCACTCCCAGGAGGAGGGAGCAGGCGTGGAGAGCTGGAATCACTCCAGAGACTCGGAGGGCTCCTGCCCCACCGAGCGCTCCCCCGACCTCCTGGGGGTGGGCAGAGATCCCGGGGGAGAGTCGGACACGGGTCAGAGTTCCCCCTGTGCACGCGTGGGTGTGATGCCCCTGTCTCCCTAATCAAGCTCCTGTCACTGCTCCCCCAATTTGCTTCTCTGATAAATAAGTGTCTCCAGCTACAAAGAGTTTGCAGGAGGGATGACAGATCTCCTGGGGCTCGAGCGAGTCTGTTTGGTTTGGATGTTTTATCCAAACCTGTCAGGGAATCAAGGGAAGCCCTGGAGAGCTGGATACCCTGGAGATTTTCAGAGCTTTGGCTTTGACCACATAATTATTTACAAGCTTCCCAAGCAGCGTGTGAAGGATTGCAGTGAGCTCTAGCTCTGCTAGAGCATCCCTGCACCTGCAAAGCAGCTTCCCAGTCAGGAGAGGTGGGGGATGGATCCCAAATCCTGTCCCCAGGGTGTCACCTCTCCCCACCATGGTTTGGGTGGGTGTTTGTGTCGGCAGCATCTGGCATAAAGCAGCTGGGGAAACCTTTGTTACTCACGGGATGTTATTCCCTTATATTCTGAGAGGAGCTGTGCTGTGCATCCCCTCAAACTTGTCAAAAGCAATGAGAAATCATGTCTTTCCAAGGCAAATTTTACTCTTGCTCTGACAGGAGAGTGTCTGCACTAATTAAATTTCATTAGTAAACCCTTTGTCTTCTCCAGGGAGGCTTGGGGAAATGCAGTCAGGCTTTTTTTTTCTGTCTGAAAACTGCTCAGACAAAACCTCCCCAGCCTGCTCTCTCGACATCCGCAGGAATTTTGAGCGTTCCCGTTTCCTTTCGTGGTTTCATTAAAACTTTGCAGGGCTGAGTGTGGCCCCCTCAGCCCCGGGATGACCCTGGGGTGGGTCATCACCCCTCCCAGCATGAGCCAAGGGGGGGATGGCAGTGGCTGATCCCGCTCTGGAGCGGAGCTGATCCTCTCTCCCACATTCAGGAGTGGATGTGAAGGGTTCCTCCAGGAGACGAGCGTACAGCACCACCCAAATCGCTGACCACGAGCCTGGCAGGAAGGTGCCCACGGCCAGTGATCCCAGCACGGCCCTGGTGAAAAACCCCCTTCGGAAAACACACCTGCAGGACCTGCAGCAGGTCAGCCCCGAGCCCTGGCAGGTGGATTTCCAGGTAGGTGATCCCTGGAGAGGGTTTACCTGCAGGTAGAAGCCAGCAAGGAAAATATCAGAGCCAGGGAAAGGGCCTGGCTCACACTAGTCCTAAGATATATAGGTATAGATAATAGATATAGTTCTGCAGCATATCACAACCACGTGGGAAATGACCTAAGCAGAGAGCAGAGTGCCATCCAGATATCCCACAGCAATCCCTCCCCATGGGAGCCCAGCTTTGCCCTGCTAAATTCCTCTCCCCTCTCACCCTGAGTGGCCTGTGCTTCACCTTGCTGCTCCTCTGCTCCTTCTTATCTCCCCACAATGTGGGATTCAAACTCTCTGCTGCAGGGCTGCAGCACTTCTGCGCCTTGCAGGGGAAAGGAACTCAGTGCCAGAACAGATTCCCAGCTGGATCCACAGCCTTCTGCAGCACTGGGGTGAGATGTGGACCTGTGTGATGATACATCTGCTGAACAGGGTCATGTCCCCTGCCCCACAGCAGGTGGAATTTGGGAAGATTTTACCACTGATCTGTGGGAAGGGTGGGGACGGTTTTCTCCCATCCTTGGCATCACTGGGATGCTCTGCTCTGCAATCAGCATCTGCAGGGCTGGGAGGACCAGCAGCACTTTAGTTCCCATGGAAACTCAGAGTGAGGGATGTTTGGGGCTTTCTTTTCCCTTATGCTGCAGTTTAGAGATCGCTGGGAGAGGGGTGGGAGGTGAGATCAGGGGGTGAAGGGGAAGCAGGGCCAGCGCTCCACAGGGTGGGGACGAGACCTCTGCCCTCCAGCTGCAGCAGGGAGGGGGGTGAATGTGAGCAGTGGTAGGTTTCAGGGGTACCAGTAACCCTCCCTGTACTGGGAAGGTCCACAGAGCGTCCTCCTGCTCGTGGGCTGCTCAGCGTGAAGGCAGGGATGGAAACAACTCCAACCCTGGAGGGCAGTCAATGGTTAACAGCATCCATCCTGGTCTTCATTAAATGCAGCCTGCTTCTGCTCTCCCTCCTGCTGCCAGGGCTCACAGCAGCTCTCCCAGCTCCCAGTCCTGCTGCCAGGGCTTGACATTTTCGGGGGCGTGAAGGTGAGCCCTCAGCTCATCTCCACACGCGCCGTGCTGGGAAGGAAAGGTCAGCGCCAGCAATGGGCAGCTTAAACCCCCAGCTCTATTCCCAGCTGGCTGCCTCTGGCTGGGGGGAGAGCTCAGGCAGGAGAAGGAGCAGGTTTTGAATGGAAAGAGTCTGTCAGGGGCTTCTTTGAGCAGTTTGCTTTTGAATATCTCAATGATAGCTTGGTAAGTAACTCCTGGAGCTGTCAGCCTCCCAGTTTCGCTGGTGGTCTCATAAAGAACCAGAAATTACGTGGAGGTCATGCCTGTCACCCAGAAAAAAGTATCCTTTCATCCAGCATGGAAGTCCACCACTTTCTACCATCTCTGTCCCTCACTGGTGTTGTGCTAGGAAAATAGAGAGTCTGACAGTTTTAGGGGACCTTCCCACAGCCCTGGGGACAAGGATAAGACTCAGAGCTTGCAGAGGGGAACATCTGTGTGGGATGTGACACCAGAGGTGCTGGAGTGGGGGATTTGTCTGAAAGTGGAGAAATAGACTCATAAAAAAAAAAAAAAAAAAAAAAAAAAAAAGATAAAAATTCCCTTCTCCCATCCCCTGCTCCTCTCTCCTTTGGTTACTAAGCAACTGGTCCTTGATCTTTCTGTCTCTCTTTTTTCCTTTGGTTCCCAAGTGAAGTCATTAAAATGTCTGGAGGGATGAAAATCATATTTCACCTTCTGCACGTCTGGGGAAGGAGCCCCTGGGGCCAGAGTCCCTTGGGGATAGACATACTCCAGGTCTGGTGTAGGGCTCTGGGCACGGATCCCAGCCGGGGATGGGCAGGGAGGGAAGGACTTGTGTGTGTGCAGGATTGCATCCCATGCTGGGGCCGGGCAGGGAGCAGGTGGGATCAGAAGGGACAGAGCAGGTCCATGCCAGGGATCAGAGAGAATGGAGCAGGTCCTGCCATCAGCTGCAGCTGATCCAGCCCTAACATCTTCTCTGCTCTCAGCCCTTCCCAGCCAGCCCTCATGGTTCTGCCAGCAGGATCCGTGGCACAGGTGCCAGGCGCCCATCCCTGCTCCACCGCGGCTGCGTGTCCTTCTGCCACGACACCAACCCCCCGCCGGTGCTGGACGGGCTGCAGCAGACCCCAGGAAGGGGCTTGGAAGCCCTTGATGCCAGCGTGAGCCTGCGCTCCTCGTCGGACAGCCGGAGCCCTGGGGACCCGGGTAACCGGCGGAGCACAAAGGACTGGCGCGGTGCTCCGAGCCACCCTGCGAAAATTCGGGAGGATTGATTACGGTTTCCCGGTGGCGGCGGGGAATTCGGCTCCCGGGGATGTGATTAACGATCCTCCTCTCCCCTCTCCGCAGAGTCTGCCCAGCATCCATCCCTCACGTTCGAGACGGAGACCTCGTCCGACTGGGAGCTGCAGGACCTGGATATCGGCGCTGCCTGCGGCTCCCCGCGCTCCCCCCGGACCCTCTGCAAGGCGGTGGTGAAGGGGCTGAGGAACAACGAGCCCGTGCAGTGGGAAGTCCCCTTTGATATCCGCCCTCTCTTCCGGGAGCGGGAGAGCCAGGGGGATGGGGATGCAGACCTGTGGAGTGAGACCTTCCACCACCTGGCAGCCAAGTCGGTCATCCGGGACTTCGAGCAGCTCGCCGAGAAGGAGTGCGAAATCGAGCACGGTAACGCACTGCTGCCTGCAGGCAGACCCTTCCCTGCCCTGGGGAGGGGGCTTTCCAGCAGCCTCTGGAATTAAAGCAAGAGCTGGAAGTGGTGAAATATTAGGGAATGTCTCACACGGTTCCCAAATGACAGCTCCCTCCAGATGCCTTGTGCTCTTCTCCTGCTTCTGCACGTCAACATTTCTGAGCTTGTGCTCCTTCACACACTCCTCAGGAGCGGGAGTTGGGCTCAGTGATCCTTGTGGGTCCCTTCCAGCTCAGTGTATTCCATGATTTTATGATTCCTCTGCTTCATGCATCAGGTAGCATGGTTATTTTTAAGGAGCTGGTTACCTGGAGCTGGGAGGAGGCATCAAACACTGAGGGTCCAGCAGCAGCCACACCTCACTGCTCTGGGCTGCACGTCCCTGGGTCTTGTCAAACTTCTCCTGGGCATGTAAAATGAGAGCAGAAAAAGCACTTTAGGCAGAGTTTAGAGCAATACAGGGATGCAGTCGCTGCTGGGTCTGGGAGCTGGGTCCTAGGTGTGGCCTGGACTCTGAGCCTGGTGTCCTTCCCTTCCTGGCAGGGTCCGGGCGGCGGTACCAGCTCAACGCTGTCCACACCAGCAAGGCCTGTAATGTCATCAGCAAGTACACGGCGTTCGTGCCAGTAGACCTGAGCACCAGCTCCTACCTGCCCACCCTGGTCCAGTACACCCACACAGGTAACGTGGTGTGAAACGTCCTGGGAGGGAGGGAGGGTGTCACTGAGAAACCTCGCTCGGGGCCAGCCCTGGGAAGCCACAGCTCAGTTCAGCACCAGACCATATACCCAAGGCCGTGGCTGAGCTCTTGGTGGTAAGAACCTCTCCCCATGGCCAGGGAAAAGGCCCACTCTTGGGTCTGGATGCCCAGAGAATCACGGAATGGTTGGGATGGAAAGGACCTTGAAGATCATCCAGTTCCACCCCCTGCCACGGGCAGGGACACCTCCCACTAGCCCAGGTTGCTCCAAGCCCTGTCCAACCAGGTCTTGGACACTTCCAGGGGTGGGGCAGCCACAGCTTCTCTGGGCAACCTGTGCCAGGGCCTCCCCACCCTCATAAGGAGGAATTCCTTCCTCATACCCAATCTAAACCTGCCCTCTTTCAGTCTGAAGCCATTCCCCCTTGTCCTGTCACTACAGTTGCTGACCAAACTCATTGTTCTGTGGGTTTTTATTGCCATTATGTGTGTGCCAGTCCCTCTCTAACCCTGGCCATTCCCTTCTCTCCTGCCAAGGGGCAGCATCCAAACGAGGCAACCAGAGAAGCCTGGGCTCAGGAAACAGAAGGCATCGTGACCTTTCCCCTGGACGTCCCCACTCAGCTTGTGGCCAGAATGGAGACGATGGATTTTACAGCACCAGTAAGATTCCCTGGGGTTTTGCCTCCTTCCTGGTGTTACAGATCTCAGTGGTTTGGGACGTCTCCGGTCTTTTTTAATTCTGCCTTCTTCTTTGGATGGCATTGCTCAGCAGACACGTGTCTGGCTGGAGCTCATCTCCTTAAACGGGGAAGAAGCTTCAATTTACCCTGAAACCCTGAAATCGCAGGTCGTGCTGCTGACAGCCCTTGGAAGTTAATTGGCAGCCGTAACAGGGATAACACGGGGGATGAAACGGCTGTAATTAGAGGCAAGGGGATGTGAGGCACTTGCTTGTCACCAAATCCTCCACTAATGAAGACGAGTTGGATTGGACCTTGTCTGGCACTGTCAGAGCTGCAGCTGAATTAACGTGGCCCTGATGAGGCTCCTTCCCCCGATGGTGCCGGGGGGAGGGGGGGGCACGGCAGGGGTTTCAGCTGGGTGGTGTTCCTGACGGGGTTCCTCCATTCCAGATGCCGAGGAGAGCAGCCTGTCCCCCTCCAGCACCCCTCCCTCCTCTGCCTGGGAGCGTTGCCGTCTCCCCGAAGGTAGGGAAAGAGCTGGTGGCACTTGCCAAGGTGCAGCTGCGTCAAGTCCGTGGTTTGGGCTCTTCACCAAATATTTTGCTGAGTTTGGGGGGGGTTTATAAAACTTTATGACCTATTTAGGCTTGTGAACACAAGATCTGACTCCTTCTGGGGTACAAAGGCTGGAGCCTGATGCGACTGTCGGTATAAATCTCCCCCAGGCTCATTTTTAAGAAGTGTGGGGGTTTTATTATCCACACAGGAAAAATGAGGCAAGGGGAGAGGAAGGGCACACTGACTGTGCTCCCTTTCTTCCCTCCTGCAGCATATCATTTACCCCCAGCTCTGTCTCTTCCCAGGGCCACTCCAGGGCATGTCTGCTTCCTCTGCACAAACCCAAAAATCCCTCGAGAGGCTCTTTGCTGCCAGGTATGGGCCAGCTCAACCTTAACTCAACCTTTTACCTCCGTGGGTCTGAACACAAGTGAGAGGGTGAGAGAAGGGACGTCCAGGGACAGCAGTCAGAGCTGGGACCCACCATGATGCTGGTGTCTGGGGACTGGGGAGGGCTTTTGGAGGAGAGGATGGAGGTTACAGCCACCTTTTCATCCTCTTCAGGCTGACCCTCAATAAAACCAGGCTGCTGGTTCGAGCTGCCAAAGGGTTCATGAGTAAATCTCCAAGCAGAGGGAGCGAAGCCAGCTCTGAGGGCGACAATGAGAGCATGAACTACCTTCCCCTGGTGAGCAGCTCCTTCCTGGGTCTTGTTGGGGTTGCATGGTCGCTGCAGGGGAGCAGAGGGAGGATGCCCCTGGACCTTTCCTCACGCTGTCTCTGCCAACCATGTCCAGTGGTCTGCTCAAAAACAGAGCTGCTCCACCTGTCCACGCCTTTTTCCTGAACCTCCCACAATTGGTTGGTACCTCAGAGCTTCCCTGTGTGCCCACCATCCCTTGCAGGTGTCCCTGCAGCTGGCCTGTGGTGCCTTTCTCCTGAACTCGGCCTTCTGTGACGCCGTCAACATCCCCATGGAGAAGCTGAAGTGGACGTCGCCCTTCGCCTGCCACCGCCTGTCCCTCAGCCCCTCCAGCTCCTACAGCACCAGGAAGACCAGCCCTTCGGTGGAGCACAAAAACCCGGGCTCCAGCCAGCAGCTCCTGGTCCCCGAAGGGCACGGGAAGAGTCCCACCAGCAGAGACGCCGCTCGGGGTGTGGTGCTGGATGGCCCCGGCAGCCACACCCAGGACACCGGGCGCCTCCGGCACTTGTCGGGCAGCGCGGTGGAGAGCATCTCCAGAGCCCTGACAGCCGAGAAGGAACTGTCCCCCCCGGCCATCACCATCCGCCGCTTCTCCTCCCCGGAGAGCACGCTGGGCTCCTCCCAGTGGGAATCCGACAGCGGCCGGGGCTCGGAGACAGACGGCTCCGAGGTGCAGGCGCTGCTCCTCGACGCGGAGCTGCAGCAGCAGACGGAGCCCGAGGGGATGCTCTGGGCCACGGCGGTGGCCCTGGCCTGGCTGGAGCACAGCTCGGCTTCCTACTTCATCGAGTGGGAGCTGGTGGCTGCCAAAGCCAGCCTGTGGCTGAGCGGGCAGGGCTTCCCCGAGGGATCCAGCCTGGCCGCGGTGAAAGCCGCAGCCCAGCAGCTCTTTGTGCTCCTCCGGCACTGGGATGAAAACCTGGAGTTCAACCTGCTGTGCTACAACCCAGGCAGTGTGTAGAGAGGGGGGAGGAGGGAGGCTTGGGCGGATTACTGAGGGCACAGGAGCAGGGATCGATCCTTAAGGAAACACCTCCGAGGAGCTCCTCTGCTGCAGGGATGTGTGTGTTTATTAGAGCAAGCCCTGTGAAAGGAACAGTCCAGGCAAAATCCTGCACTCAGCAGTCGGAGTTTTGCCCTGAGAGGGAACCTTCCGCTGCTCCTGCTATTTATTTTCAGCTGGAGCAGCACTTCCAGTTATAGCAGTTCCCTCTGATCCTGGTTCCTTCTGGTTCCCAGAGCAGATCTTACTGCCTACTCCACTTGCCCTGTCCTTGCTTGGCTGCCTCTTCCCAGTCCCAAATTGCTGCCAAGCCCCTGCTGCAGCCCCCCAGCCCTGAGTCCCTGCTCTCCTGAGGCTCCTGCCTGGCTCCTGCCATCTCAGATGGCTTCCAGAGAAGATTAACATCTGACAACATGCTCATCACATGGATCAAAGGGAATCTGGGCTAGGAATGACCATCTAAATAGCAGCCCTTGCTACCACAGCCAGGAGGATGAAACCCAGCCACGCACCAACAAGCTGGGCCAGTTGGAGACTGGGACCAAACCCCATCCCATCCACACGGTGCTGGGCTCCCTCAGCCCCTCTGCAATCCCAGAGGGAGTTTGTGAGACCCCTTGCAGCCAATGTGTGCCTTCAAAGCTTCACAGGCAGAGCAGGGGCACCCGGGATTGAAGGATCAAGTGCCTACAGAGGGAATCACACATTGCTGTCTCTGGCATGGCTGTGATGCCCGTGGAGCCCATCCAAACCCTGCTGCCTTTCGCTCCCTCCCTTGGCATGGAGCAGCCTTGCCACGTCCCACCAGGCTTCTGTCTTGTGTCTGTGTGTCTGGGGGGGCAGATGGGAGGGACACTGGGGACCCCAAGCGCCCCTCCAGTCTCTGTGCTTGGTGTCACCTCTTTGGGATCCCCAGGAGCTTCCCTCTGGTCTCTGCTCTCAATGTCAGCTCTCCAGGCTCCCCAGAACCACAAGAACCCCTCCAGTCTCTGATCTGATGTCAACCCCCCAGGACTGTGAACACCTCCCTGGTCTCTGCTGTGGTGTCACCTCTCTGGGGTCCCAATGGCCACGAGCATCCCTCTGGTCTCTGTCCTGGTGTCACCTCTCCAGGGTTCCCCAGGACCCTGAGCATCCCTCTGGTCTCTGCTCTCAGTGTCAGCTCTCCAGCGTCTCCAGGAAGATCCCTCCAGTCTCTGCTCTGGTGTCACCTCTCCTGGCTTCCCAGGGCCGTGAACAACTCTCCGGGGTCCCAAGGAAGATCCCTCTGGTCTCTGTTCTCAGTGTCAGCTCTTCAGGGTCCCCAGGAGGATCCCTCCAGTCTCTGCTCTGGTGTCACCTCTCCAGGCCCCCAGCTGGTGATGCTCAGTGGTGCTGCAGGTTTTCTGGTGCCTCAGCGCAGTCGTGTTCTCTGTTGCAGAAGTGTTGTTGTCCCAGTAAAATCACAGTCTGCTTCACTTCCCAGTGTGAGTCCTTTCTTTTGGGGTGGCTTCTTGGTGGGTTTCCCCAGGGACACCCCAGCTGGCTGGATCATTGTGTGGCTGTGCAATAAAATACCCTCCCTCCCCCACAAAAAAAATCTCAATTTAGTGCTTGAGTTTAGATCTGGATTTCAGAGGGGAAGAAGCTTCCTTTGGGTTTTGGGGAGCTGGGTTTTGCAAACCCCAAATTGCAGAGCACTCTGTAAACTGATGGATCCAGGGTTTTAAAAACCACGGGAAGTTTGGATTAATTTTTCTGTGAGGCAGAGATGGAGCAGAGAATTCCTGCTGCTCTCTCTTCCTGTACCTCTCTCTTATCAGGGATTTCAGCAATTTACCCTTTCACCTTGGTCATTGTGAGGGGGCCAAAATCCCACACCTTCCTCAATTAGCATTGTAATTACAGGTATTAATAAAGCAGCCATCACGTTTTCCAACCCAAAGTGGGATGTAGGAGCTAAGTGACCCCTTATTTCCCTCTTGGCAAGCAACGACCTGCTTCAATGCCCTCCCACTTTTGGTGACCTCTGCATATCACAAAAAATTAGACAATTCCGGCCCACTTTTCATCCTCTGGACTCCATCTCCGGAGAGGGACTGGGTCTCCCGAGGAGGGGAGATGGATGTCTCCAGCCACAGCGATTCCAGAAGATCCCCCTCAGCATTCCCTTTACATCCAAGGGGATTTTCACCCCATTAAGTCATCGCCTTAAGGAAGGGCGCTCCGGTGCTGTTGCCAGGGTGACCGCAAGTGCCTTATTAAGAGAAATTAGTTTGGATACAGTTGTCAGCTGTAGCTTAACAAATAAACCCCTTTACGCTGTGTAAATAAATATTTGCACGCAGCGTCTGCACGGGGAGGGAGAGACTTCCAAGCCCTGGACAGCATCGTGCCAAAGGGGCGTTCTGGGGAGAGAACCGGCCAAATTGGGGCAGCGCTGGTGCAAACCTGCACCCCTGGGGGTGTCGCGGATGGTGGGACCTCAGAGAGACCCCTCCGTGTCCCCACGCCGCGGTGGGGTGATTTTCCTGCCGAACATCCCCCCCCCTACCACGGCCACGGCTGCTCCTCCGCAGGGGTTCATTAGCCGGGAACCGGAGGAGCCTTTTCGTGCTTTGAAGGGTTATGAAACCCGCGGGAGAGGGGGAGGACGGGAGAGCTTAAAAAAGAGCCGTCGTGTGTGTGTGTGTCCCCCCCTCCCCGCCCCACAACCCAACCATCGCCTGCCGAAAAGGGCTGGCAGCCGTTCCTGCACAGATTGTGCCTCTGCCCCCGTCCCCCGCCAACCCACCGCCGACGGGCGATGCCTCGGGGTGGAGAACTTTGCTGGGAAATGAGTTTTTTACCAGCATTTG